ACACCGCTCAAAGGTTGTGGTGCAGGGAGTCATTACAGGCGGTGGGAAAGGCTTCCATTTTTTTTAACCATTTTTTTTTTAATTTTTAATTTTATAAACAGTTTATTAATTTTTTTATTATTTGTCTATGATTTTGTTATTTTTTTACAAATTTATTAAGAATTAAAACATTTAATTATGACTTTTGACTACCTTTTACTCATATTTAAAAGAGGGGTAAGAATGGAATGAAAAAACATGTATGTTTCCAAATAGGAGTAATGTGGTCTTATTTTGGAACAGAAACATAAAATGTCCTATTTTTTATTTTTTCCATACTTTTTACTTCTATTTGTGGTAATTTCTGTATTAGTAACTACCTTTCATGAACCAAAAATAATACATACTTTAGAAATAATTTTTAATAATATCAACTATCTGAATGCAATCTAAAAATAAGATAGAGTTACTTTTCTACAAGAAATCTTCCCATTTAAGATATCAAAAACTAATATCATATCATCAAATAATTGATATTTGGAAATACGATCCCTTATATTATATTTTGATATTAGTTTTGGATGAGTTAAATGACGGAATTTTTAGTGAAAATTTGTTATGTATCACTTTTGCTATATATTCAGATAGTTGGTAACTTGGTATTACTGTATTAGTTGGTATTATTAAAAATTATTTCTAAAATTCGTATTATTGTTGATTCATGGAAGACAATTGATATTATTTAAAGTTATTTTCCCCTTAATGAATTAATCATTTTCCAATTGATTTCTTAGTAAATATGTAACACTTTTTAGTTTAGCTAGCTAGCAATATTTATATACTTGATATAATGTTTTCACAAATGCAATTGATTGGTATATATCAAAATTGCCAATTTACAAAAAATACCAGCCAACATAGCTCACCACTCTGAGGTGTTCGGAAAACGGCATTTCTCACAAAGCAGTTTCATAATTTTTAATGTTTACGGTAAGTGAAAACATTTTTGGTAAATAATTGTTTGGCCGAAGCGTTTTTGGACGGAATCCTCGAAATGAAAACATGCAAATGACAGTCTTTTAGGTTAGTGTTTTGAAATAGGTTGTTTCCTACTAATTGCTACGGTCAAACAATTAAATTATCAAACATTATTTTACAACTTACTAATTTATTTCGCTAATCAAACCCTCTAATTGGATCATCTATTAACAATTTAATATAATCCACTATTCATTATCCGCTAAATGCCAAACTCACTCCATATTAAATGTTATATGGAGTACTTTTTAAATTAATTCCTTTAACCTTTATAACTTCCATATAGACTAATTAAAAAATAAACCATCATTTTTTAGGGTCAAAGATCACTGGAGTCTGGATACCCTTACAGATCGAAGAACAAGGTTGACCCTGTCATAGCTGTTAGGAAGTGAACTCTAGTCTATTCTTAGTAGCACACTCTAATGAATATCAATTCAATGTGTTCATCTATCTCCTCCCCTATGTAAACTGGTTTCTGAAAATGTGAAATAGGGTCTCTTCGTGTTAAGATTAGTATAGTCATACACTCATACGTAGTAATTGACTGGGCGAGTAATACACATGAATGTGAGAGAATATATATAAGTGCTATATCATTGTGAAGTCGAATCATTAATATTTCTTATTATAAATTGAAATTTTAATATATAAAATTCTCAAAAATGTGAATCTAATTTTTGGATGAAATGAAAAGTTACGTATTAATTTTTGTTGAATACAAACTCATTATTTATTGCCTATGTTTCTAAAATATCGTATTTCTACTGCAAATTTCGCCCCCACTGAAAATAATTTTTGGATACGCCACCGCCAATATGGATCCTTTTTTTCGTGCTCTACAGCTATTAACACGTTCTTTAGTTCGTCAACAATGAAGCTTCTCTTTTGTGCACGTATGAAGATATCTTAGCTTCTAATAATCCCTTCTATGAATTTGGGTTAGTTGTATTCAGCCTCTCTTTGCAAATCAAAGTGAAGGGGGCATCATCATCTGCTAACTGTCTAGCTACTATTAATGTTAGAAATCATGAAATTGAGTACATAGCTCTAATTTGACTACACAGTGAGTAACATCATATTAATACAAACCTACCATGTTAATAAAATTGGAAAATTATATAAATTAGAAAGACAGTTACTTGTCGACCAGACTTAGGATGGCTGATGGTGGATGCAACTAGGGCTGAGCAAAACCCGATCCGACCCGAAAAACCCGATATTTTTTTCGGATATTATCCGAACCGAAGTGGATATCCGACCCGAAAAACCCGAAACCGCATATCCGATTAGTATTGGGCCTAGACCGGGTGGCGGGTAGGGTTTGTGAAATCCCAACCCGACCCGCCCGAATATCCGAAATATATGTTAGTGTGTACTTTGAATATTTAAATTAATACTTGTGTTCAATTATTTGTGTAATTATTTGTGCAATTTGTATTAAATTATTTGTGTAAATTGAATGTGTAGTGAACTAGTGTGTATACAATTTTCGTTAAAGTGGCATTCCAACATGTTAATTAACTATCCAATTATAATGTGTTTTGATATAACCAAAATATCCGAAATATATTAAATTACGTAGTGTGTACTTTGAATATGTTAAATTAATACTTGTGTTCAATTATTTGTGTAATTATTTGTGCAATTTGTGTTAAATTATTTGTGTAATTTGGAAGTTTAGTGCACTAGTGTATACAATTTTTGTCAAAGTGGCATTTAAACACTTTAATTATCCAATTATAATTTTTTTAATATAACCGAAATATCCGAAACCCGACCCGATATCCGATAATATCCGACATAAAAATATCCGAAATACCCGATTTGAAAAATCAAAGGGTCGGGCCTAGTATTTAAATTAAAAAACCCGAACGGGTTTAGGGTTCGCAAACCCGACCCGCCCGAACCCGACCCGTGCACACCCCTAGATGCAACCATAGTTGCCATTGGGGTGGGTTGATAGGTGTATTGAACCAATCTTTTTTTTTTTGTAAAATACCAACAGTTTTGTGATTGACTTGAGTTCAATATGGTTCTTGTACTTTGTGAGTTAATGATTGTGGACATTTAAAAATCCTAATATATACCATATGGCCCTCTCATCCTTACTTATGTTCTCATGTAAGTATGTAACACTGAGTAATACGGAGTATGAAACAAAAGAAATTGGTTCAATTCGTTGATAACTTCATCATTTCTAGTGCTAAAATTTAAAACCTCCTGTTTTTAAGAGTATAATATCATCTTCAATGATGTGCAGAGTGTACAGGTGGCAGAATTTACATAAATTAATCAATAGTGCACAAACATGCACATAACTCAATCAGTGAAGTTTCTATCTTTTTTTCACTGCCTTGTATATGTTTTAGTTATTTTTTGTTCAATGTAAAAAATAATGTATACATTCAGACATTGTTAATAAAGAGTTACGAAAGTACAGAAAATGTTGAAAGGAGAGATGAAAAATACTCTTTACCAGTTGTATGTGTATTGTTTTCATGACAATATAAACTTGGAACAATATATAAACTTGTACATGCCTATGTGGAGGATCTAACAAACATCATATTTATCCTAGGAATGTATAGAAAGGCATTGGGAGATATCCGATGACCAAATGTACATGAGTGATATCATCAAAGAAAAATGGGCCAATGTTAATAGAAGAGCATCTTACACACCTACTCAAGTAAAGCAAGCCACAATAAGAAAAAGTTTTTATCAATCTACTGGAGACTTTTAGTCCCCATCAAGCAGTTTTTATGTGAGGACGAGGGCTAAAGAGCTGCTAGCAAGGCGAAAGATATGAGAAGATGGAGTGGTCCGCTGCGGCTACTCTGTGAATCTGTGAAAGAATATATTATACAAAGTAAATAAACCAAACAATGCACATCATGATACATAACAAAAAGTTACAACAAAGTTAAGTAATTGGCATGAACTCCGAATATATATTTGCGAAACGACACTCGAGTTAGCTGTGTTCTAATGAATAAAAAATGACCCTCTCCACTATGAAAGAAATAATAACTCCACCTTCAAAGGAAAGAATCCTTTTAATTTGCAACTTGCTGCTACATTCACTTTGTTTGATTCCAACTTCTGGGTTGGAGTGAAATATCAACACAAAGCCAAAATGATTGCAATATAGAGATTTTCATAGTTGTATTTTCAATTTTTGTTAACACCCGGTGATCGGTGATCCCAACTACATTAGACTAATCCTAGACTCCTAAAATCTATTCCATACTCTTGAGAGTCGCTCAAACAATAATTTAGATCCCCAACACTCATCTATACATCATTGCGCAATAGAAATTTCTCTAACCGATTGGTTTCACGTGTCTCAAGTTCCCAGCTTAGTTTTTGAGGGAACCACCACCAACTGTTGGACGAAGCACTGATTGAATAACTAGTCAAGCTATTCCCGAGAGTTAGATGATCATCATTTGTGAAAATCCTCCCATATTCACCTCAGTGACTTAAACTCATTACCACATGGAAGAATCTGAATGTGGTATGTGGTCTACACAGACCACTCCCATACATGTCATTGATGTATTTTCATAATGAACTAGAGTTGTCTGAAACTACACTTTAGTGTGAAGAAAGCGTGTGTCAAGTCTCTACAACTTGTGTTCAACAAATTGAGGTTTATAGGCAGAAGATTATTGCAAAACCGATGAATCCACCATAGTTGAGCCTTGAGAAAAAATTTTGTCAAAAATCATCTAAGATGTGAACGACTTATAACTTAAATCTACATATGTATGTGTTATAGTTTAATATATGACGTCAAATACAAAACAAACAAAAACAAACACTTTTGTGCAAAATATGAATAACTTTTATCTGATCTTACCAGCAGATTTACTGCTACTCCAAATTAAAGACGCCTAATGGTCTAACTTTGGGCTGCCTCTTCAAATTATTAATTGATAAGTGCCCGAAGTCTAATCATACGCCACTCAAAAAGAGCATTGCCTCAAATGTGAGTAATATGATATTTGCTGTCTAATAACATGGACATGCAACACAGAGGTAAGAGAACAATTGCCTTTTCATGATCAAGTGAAAGAAACCATCAGGGACTCGTTACAATTTCTATAAAAAGGGGCTGACAATCCCCCTCAGCCCAAAGACTGAATCGACACATTATGAAGAACATCATGTGTTCATTTGTTTCAGCGGTCTGTGAGGTTTGGGCGCATTTGGATTTCCTTGTTCGTAGAAGCTGCGCAGAAGAGATATTGCTTCAGATGCCATCACACCTCCAACACATTCAAAGCCCTTATTTGCCGCTCCAACCCCGGCATGCAATGACAATATCGATCCACAACCACCGAACTTATCGTTTGAGCATCCATAAACAGTTTTTTTAATGCCAAGGTAAGAAAGGGCCGCTGCACACATTATACATGGTTCACATGTTACGTAAAGCACACATTTTGAAAATCTTTCATAAACTTCACCCGGTGAAACTCCACGTTTCTTCCATTTCTCAAGTAGATGATCAATGGCTTCCATCTCAGCATGTCTAGTGCCATTTCTTGTCTCTGTGGTTCGGTTCCTTCCCGAAGCAATGACCTCACCATCCTCTACGATGATGCAACCTACCGGCACTTCAAGGTTGTCTAACGCAAACTTAGCTTGTTGTAGAGCTTGTTCCATAAAAGAAATGGCCTCTTCCCCATAAAATGCCATGATTGCCTTTGGTTTGACAACACTTCAATAAAATAAAAATTACACTACATAAGCATTTTATTACATTGCATTACATTCAATAAGACAAATTACATCGTAGAATATAAAGCACGAACTAACATATATTGGCATACTATTGCTACTATGTTGATCTTTTGTGAAGCAGCACAGTTTAATGTGGCATGAGAGTATATTAAAATCAGATCCTATTATGCTTAAGCAATGAACACAACAGCTTGGACCAATTTCATATAAAAAAACATTAAACTAAGCTACATTTCAAGACATGATTTAGACATCTATGTAGTATCTATATGTTGGGGAATACACGACCACCGACCTCTTCCAGGATCACCAGCTCAAAGGACTCTTGTACATTTACCCACCCACTCGTAACACAAAGATTCAATCTAACAATATCACTTTGTATTATACAATTGAAATGTACAAGAGATATTTTACAAGTAAACGAGTAGCTCACATCACTCTTTGTATGAGACTACTTCACTCTCACATCCCTCTCTAGAGGAGGCCTTCTCTTACTCAATAGCCCTCCTCAAGGATCTCTCTCTCATCACTTGAGGAGGCTCTCTCTAGCCTCTCACTCTAGGACCTCCTCATGGCTCTCACTCTAGAGGCTCTCTCATTTAGGAATGAGGAATCTCACCCCTATTTGTACAACTCATCTCAAAGCTTCTCTAGAACTTTCTATACATCACTACATTTCTAGATTCTTCCAAGAACTATCCACAAGCTTCTCTAATCTTCTAGAAGGATCTAGAGAACTCCACATCGCTTGAGAATGTTCTAGAGGCTTCCACAAACTTCCGCATGATTCTAGAGAATTCCACATTTCTCTAGAAAACTCCACAATGTTCTAGAATATTCTACACTCTTCCACACGCTTCTAGATAATTCCACGTCTCTCTAGAAAGCTCCGGAATATTCTAGAACATTCAATATTTCTCTACACACATCTAGAGAATTCTAGACATCTCCGCAATATTCTAGAATTCTCATTAACTTCTCAATTAAGGAGGGAACCCAACACTATATATTAATGCATTTTGTTTGCCCCAATCTTTCAATAGAGCTGAATAAAGAAAATGTAAGAATGATAAGAACGTAATCACCGTTAAAGAAAAAGTAACTCCAGTCCACTCTTCAACTTTGAAAGCGGAAGAGCTAAGTGGATGGTGGCTTTTAGGCGAATTGGTGAAGAGGTGAGGACAGTCTCCTATACTGTCTCAACTTTCAATGTTTTTTAGCCCAAGTGAGAGTTTGAAACTTACCCCCATTCAAAGAATGTAAGGGCTCAAACAACTCATGCTATACAATCCAACTTTCCTAAAACAACTTACACTGCATCCCCACTTTTGCATATCCCCAATATATTAATTAGGGTCTGTTTGCAACAGCTTCTACTTTTAAAAAAGTGCTTTTTTTAATGAAATGAGGAGAAGTGATTAAATAAAAGTTGATAGTGTTTGAGAAAAAAGTGATTTTGAAAAGTAAAAGTGGGTAGTGTTTGGTAAAATAAGTGCTTTTGTGTAATAGAAATAGTAAAAGAACTTTTGACGCGGAAGCCGAGAAAAATAAAAGTTGCAGTGTTTGAGAAAATAAGTGTTTTTTTAAAGCCAAAAACTAAAAAGTGCTTTTTAAAAGCGGTTGCAAACAAACCCTTAGAGATTCTAGATATACATTTAGATTTGTATGGTGTATATATTGACAACTTGACCAGGCTTAATGGACCAAAGAGGTTAGATTTGGGTAATTCATGACAGGCAGGTCCATGGGCTGGGTAGGATTCACAAAGTAGGCTAGGCCAGCTAGGTGTCAACCAGTGGGTTGACCCAGGGGTAGATCTAGCATTTCAATTCAGTGGAGGGCACATTTTTTTCATCTGAAAATCTGAAAAAGTTGAAACTAAAACCGCAAAAGAAGAAGCTGCTACTAAAATTCCATACGTGAAGTCTGAACTTTAAAGACTTGGCAGGCAGCGAGACAGCAGCTGAAGAACTAGTAATGCAGATAACACACATTTGCAGACGGATGGCCGCGGAATGGTGTTATATTTTACCTTGTCAATATCCTTATCTTTATTTTGCAGATTACACATTTTTAGACAGCTGATAAACGATAGGGATATTGAAAAAGATAAAAATGCAAGGTTGCGGAATGGTATTGCGCACCTTTTGGTAACATGCTAACATCCATTTTAGCCACATACAAGTAAGTCAAGGGGCTACTTATTTGGTTGATAAGCAAAATATAGCTACCAAAATGGCCTTTGTAGTAAAATTATTTATGAGGCTTCAGAGGAAAATGAAATTGAAATCTGGGATGTTGTTGAAGAAGCAGCTGGTGTTAATGAAACAACTCACAACACTAGAGCATCGACATCAAGATCAACATCAACACTTCATCAAAAAGAAGGAGTTCCTTTCTTATCAGAGTCAGACGAGGATGATGGGTGTGATATGAAGCAGAATTTGGGCTTGAAAGAAGAGGGACAGAAGCCCCCGTGGGTTTACTAAAGGTGGGACGGGCTTGAGCCCACCTTCGTGGGCTGGTTGCGGGCTGCTTAATTTATATTTATTCTTTTTAATTTTCCTGATTTGTTTCCTATTTGGAGTTAATTAGGATTTCTAATATTTGTTTCCTATTAGGAGTTAATTAGGATCTCTATTATTTGTTTCCTATTTGAAGTTGATTAGGATCTTTTTATTCTAATTCCTAGTTGGAGTTGATTAGGATTTCTAGGATTTTGTTTCCTAGTTTGAGAATTGGTAGATGGGCTTTTAAACCCCTTGTTAGGATTCATTCTGGCTTATCTTGGAATAAAATTGGTTTTAGCCTTTTGGCTCTGGGCAACAGTATTTTTACCGTTGATTATCTAGGCAACGGTTTACCCCGTTGATTTTATTTTTTCGTTACACAACAGGGTGTGATGACTAGACCTCTAGACATGAACAAGGAGTTGGATGACTATGAGTATTAGTCAACAGATCCTAATGATCAAACTTCAAATTCAGTTTTTTAAGACATGAACTGGTTATGGATCTTAAGTTGGTTTGATTTAGATTATTTTTGGGTACTATTTTGGTTATTTAACAATTTAACTCTTTAATTGGTGGTCAAGTCATACAACTTCACTATCCAATAGATATTCTACAACTTTTCTCGGCTAAATGCATATATTTGTATGTATTTTCAATATGCTGAATATATTGGAAAAAGATGTTATACATATCCTTGATAAAATATCGTAGTGCAGGGCGTTAATATCACTATTGTTTGGCATCACAAGTTGTACAGAGTTCATGTAACAGATGAAAATTTAAATTCAAGGAAGCATTTCTAAGCATATTGAAGTTAATAACCTACACAAGAAACTTTGGTTTCCTAAACATTATTAAGAAAAACTATGTACACATATTAAAGCAGATACGTTTTCGAAACATTGTATCTGTTCCCAAACATTAGGGAACTAAAATCTATAATTGGATAGATTTAGATTGTAATGTGAAAGAAATACACCACACATTTTGGTTTAACAGGCGCGTCATGTACCTCGTCTTTTGCGCTAGTGAGAGGCATCCTCCTCTATCACCTATTGGACAGTGTCCGCTCATCTTTCTTTAAACGTTCTACTATAAATAGTAAGTCTATGAGTTTAGTAAATGTTATAGTTGTTCAGCTTTTTTCCCGTTCTGCTAGGGCTTAAATTTTGAAGTACCTTTTATTACATTACCAGGTGTATTTTGTTAGTAAATCTTATCATATGTGATAGGGAAAACTGTCAAATAGGCCCCCCTACTAATACAAAAAAGTCAATTAAGCCCCTGAACTCAAAAAACACTCAATTAAGCCCACGAACTATAAAAAACGAGGCAAAACAGTCCTTTTAGAAGGTAATTAAGCGGTTAAAAAGAGATAAGGAAAAAAGGAAAGAAAGAGAAAAAGCGAAAAAGAAAATGTAAAAGCATGCCACATCATTTATCACACATGCAACTTAACTGGGAACGGTTAATATCCTGCTAAAAGGACTGTTTTGCCTCGTTATATTTAGTTCGTGGGCTTAATTGGATGTTTTTTGAGTTCGGGGGCTTAATTGACTTTTTCGTATTAGTAGGGGGGCCTATTTGACACTTTTCCCATCCCTATGTGATATATGCATTACTTTCTGCCCTATATTATTGGTTAGTTATTCTTTAAAAAAACATACTTCCTATTACTTTATGTTTTAATTTTTGTCGTTTTTCTTAACAACTTCATAACTTCATATTAATATGTTAAAACATGACAATCCTAATTTTCAATTTCACAAATGAAATCACATAATGACACAAATTATTCACCAATAGTAGAAGAAACTCACATTTAACATTCTTAAAAATTCGTATAAAACAGCCACACACTCAATCTCAAGAATCAAGATTTCAAGCTATTAGCTATTTAAACTGAAATAAATAAAAAAATAAAGAATAAACACTTATGAGTTATAACTTACCTGTTGCCTGGGGGCTGGGGAGATTAGAAGTGAGATAGTGAGAAACAGACTACCACGCAGCGGAGGCAGCAAAGGAAGGCGTGAGGCGGTTTCGGCGTGTCGCGTGAGGGGATGCGGCGGCGTTTCTATTCTAATGCAGAAGATTGGTTCCGATTTTTATAAATTTGGAATCTTTATATTTGGTCTAAAATCTATAAATATCATTTCTCCGGGACACTATGCTCATCTATGAGCTTTCACGTTTATATTCTACATGGAGCTAGAAACATCTATCAACCGATCTATAACAAGTGGTGCTAGCCATGGACGTGTTGCAGCCGTGCAGGGAGAAATACCCGAGCACCACCCACTTCCTGATATGAAGGATAATGTCAAGAAAGTACTCACTCCATCCCAATATAAAAGGCACACTTTCCTTTTCGTGCCGTCCCAATATAAAAGGCACATTTCCCTTTTTGGCAAACAAAACATTGCAAAACAGTGCCAAACAGTGTCCAAACAGTGCCAAACAGTGTTCAAACAGTGCCAAACAGTGTCTAAACAGTGTCAAACAGTGTTCAAACAGTGTTCACCCTAAAAATGTGTGAAAACGCAAATGTGCCTTTTATATTGGGACGGAGGGAGTATTTTTATTGTTAACTTAGTTCCTTCAATTAAGTTTTGTATGTGGAATAAAAAAGTATATATAAATATGTGATGAAATATCTATAAATGTTAAAACTTTACATAGGTTACATCCCCGAACGCCAGCCATTTCCTAATCTTAAGGATAATGTCACATTCTAATCAGAGAGTTAACTCTCCATAAATGTGAGGAATGCATTACTTTTAGATTGGGGTGACATTTTAACATCTAGACTTCAGTTATGAAATTATTTCTATTTCTAACATTTTCTATAATTTCCTTATTGGGTCTTTTGTTTTGCTTTATCATTTGCTATTTAACGCGTGAAAGTGCTAATTGTACATCTACTCACTTATACCGCACTTTTATGGTGAATTACTACGCATTGCAAGTATCATTTGCTATATACTCCGTATATAGTAAGAAAATTGACCCAGGGCAAGCCTTATCAAAAGATGACAGGTTACTCTTCAGGTTACGATGCTCTAAGACTTATCTCAATAAACCCTTAAAAAGTTGATTTACAATCAATATGACCTTATAGCTTAAATGTGCAGGTTATTGGATTATAGTATAAACCAGAGCTAAAAGAATTCAATATCCATATTAAGTAGGTTCCAGAATTACTTTATAGGGAGATTCATTTCAAATAGACTTGTACTCCGCGAATGGTTATTGAGACTAATATTTATAGAGGCAGTGAAATCAGTTGAAGAAAAACAAGAAGTTAACAAATGCCGAGGACATTTACCTGGAGTAGTGTCGAACAGCGGAAGATTAAAGGGGAAACTATGAACGAGGTTCTCGAATTGGTATGACTTGCACTGCGCATAAGATGGATACAACCAATGGTTACAATTAAGCTCGAACTGAACAGTCAATGAAATCCTTAAATAGTTAAATGTAATCATCATAAAAACACATGGCCGTTTTTTAGGGGTTCAATACGCAAATTATACCGTGGTACCGGTATACCATGTGCATGGTATACCGGTACCCAAAACGGCATCGTTTCTCAAATATTCTGTTCTTCTTTTAGCTGGGTGTTGTTCTTCTCCATCACAGTATTTTTTTTCTCCGTTTGAGCACTACATCCTCGATCATACCCGGCCAATGGTTGAAATCATGATTCGTATTACTTCCACCCACCACCGAGTAAAAAGCTTCTCAAATCTTCTACTTCCTCACCACCGAGTAAAAAGCTTCCACCTACCACCCACTTTCCCTACTTCCCATTCGATTTGCCATTCTTCCTGATTTTGTTTCTTCTTTCTTCTTTTCTATTCTTCTTCAATGGTATTAATTTCCTTTATTTATTAAAATATGAAAAACATGATCACATTAATTTTTTCTATAATTTATTTACCCCTATAAATTATTGTAGACCTTACTCAACTTACATCTAGCGCACACTCAATTTACACCAGGATTTGCCTAAAATTACATATCTTTTATCGTGAGTTACATGTCAACTTTTCTTATCAAGTTACATCATGTTTACATTTGATTTACATTTTCATAAAGTGTGTTACATCACAATATAATGCAAGTTACACAACCCAATAAGCCCATGCTATTCAAATAAAAATTATTTTTATTAAAAATCATTTTTATAACCTTGATATTAAAAACATATGCACTATTTATGTAAAATAATTGGACAATTAGACTTCTTATTTTCATCGAAATCAATATTTTGTATCTTATACTATGTATTTGACAAGTTACATTTCGACTGTACTTGAGTTACATCAATCAATAACGTGAGTTACATTATTTTACTCGTGAGTTACATCACTCATGTTACAGGGACAAAAAAATAGGTACTGTACACGCCTTACAGTTCACGCATTACTGTTCACGCAATTTTTGTTTAAACAAATTGCAAACCTACGTCGTTTTGGGATGTGGAGCACGGTGCTCACCGTGGGATGATCCCACGATATACGAACTCGGTTCAATAGGTTATCCAGAACAGGGCCCCTGAATTATGGGGCCCCTGATTTTTAAAAATTATTAGTATTATATAGTAATGAGATTATATATCAATACTAATCAGTAAAATACAGTTAGCTAGTCAGAAAGAAAAATATAGATTCATCATTTTCTTGTGGGTCCCTTTACTTTTTTTAGTTCTCTTCTAATTAATATTCAATTGATTTGAGTATGAGTATTTGAATTGTGATTTTTTTTTATATACTAATGTGGGGCCCCGATTTTACATTTAGAACCCGGGTCTCCAAATTCATTAGACGGCCCTGATAAAACACAAAATTAAAACCTTAGAGAATGCGGAGAAGATGAATGGAATTAGAGCAGTTCAGGGAGGCTGGTGTAGGCTTTGTGTATGAGCGGAAGCAAGTGAGTTGTCATCCCCTAGCCTAATCAATCCGGGTTGAATGTGAACTTGTGAAGGAATGCAAAGATGGGTTGTATGCGAGAGGGTACACTCACTTAAGCCTCGGGTACATACCGATAAAACTACACCAACAACTTTTCTATACTGAAAATAGCCTTACACTAACATACACTGAGGGAAATAGGGAAGGAGAGATAACCTTGTTGCGCAGATATTGATCCATCTTTCAACAGCTTCACTAAAAGAGACCTCCCAAAGGGGTGTTTGGAACTGATTCTGCTTCTGCTTCTTTTTCAAAGCAGAAGCAGAATCAGAATCAGTTTTCAGAAGCTGGTCACCCCCAACTTCTAAAAAAACTGATTCTAGGAGCAAATTTGAGCACCAGAATCACTTCTGCACTTTTACCCAAACACTCCAGCTTCTGCTTCTGCTCCCTGAAGGAGCAGAAGAAGTTTTAAGAATCAGATCCAAACACCCCCAAATTCCGGCGGTTTATACCCACCGACATGGTTCCAGGCGAAGATTACGAGGTCTCTTTCCGAACTCAGTTCAACGCTTCACCGCTACTTTACAAATCCGGAGAGTGTCTCTTCCGGTCTTACAGTAAATGAGCAATAAAACACATCTAGTGAGCACGAGACATATTTTGTTGAACATTAGAAGCATAACAATGAGCATCGTGATCTTTGCTTCATCTCTTCGAATTTACTTTCTTTTTCTTATTTTTTCTTTATAAAAACTTATTAATTACATCAATAATCAACTCTTATGAACTTCAGTATGCGAATTTAATGCAATATGATACTTTTGAAATATACATTGTTATGCCATTATACAAATGAGCATAACATGAATTCTCGTTGAGCATAATAACTTATAAAATGAGAATTGATATGAAAATCATATGTACTTTAATTGAACATCAAGACGTTTTAATTTTATTGAGCATCAACTCGAAATTATAAGCATCAACTTTAATATTAGAATATTATTATATTATTATTATTATTATTATTTATATTTTAGATTAGATTTTGTAAAATAAATATTATAATATGTTCCAAAAACAAGTGGAGCTCTAGTGGTAGGTTAGCGGTGCGGATTGAGATCCTCTACCTGACTAGGAGGGTGACTTGCGCATCTGACGGGAGGGGAGCGGCCAACACGGCCTCGAGATCGGCATAAAAGTGGAGCCCAAGATCTCTGACTGTTGAATTGTCGATCGGATAACCGGGAGGAATCAAGGCACTCTACCTTACTCTACAGTAAGGTAGAGGCTCCGGATTTGGTGCGGTGCAGGGAGAAATATTCGACAGCCACTTCCTAATTTTAAGGATAATGTCACATTCTAATCAAAGAGTGAACTTTTCATAAATGTGAGAAACACTTTACTTTTAGATTTGAGTCACATTTTAACATTTAGACTTCAGTTATGAAAGTATTTAAATTTTCTATTTCTAAAGTTTTCTATAATTTCCTTATTGGGTCATTTCTTTCGGTTTATCATTTGATATTTGACGCTTGAAAGTGTGAATTGTACAACTACTCAGATTAGTTATACCACAATTTTATGGTGAATTACTTCACATCGCAAATATATGGTAGGTATATATAATGCAGTTTCTAACTAATATTTGTTTAACATTTATAAGAACCATTTTTAAATAAATATTACGTGCAACAAGCGGTCGAGTTTCGTGCTTAAAGTAGTATATACACATCCCCAGTATAAATGAATGTAAAAAAGAGTTTTCTCAACTTTTATCCTATTAATCACCCTTCGTTTTGTAAAAAAAAATATTTTAATATATTCCGAAAGGGACTATTTTCATCACAAGTTCTCGTGGGTTAAAACATTATATTTATATCGAGATGTTCAGAACTATCAAACCTCAAAATCCGCACGAAATTGCTCTTTGTTTATATTATATAAAAAGTGTTTCGATTCTAATGTAGAAGATTAGTTCCGATTTTTATAAATTTGGAATCTTTAATGTGTTTTATTGTTAACTTTCTTCCTTCAATTAGGTTTTGTAAGCGAAATAAAAAGTATATATAAATATGTGATGAAATATCTATAAATGTTAAACATTACATAGGTTACATCCCAGACCAAATGGAGCTAGTGGTAGCCGTGGAAGTGGGGCAGGGAGAAATACACGAAGCCGTTGATCGAGAATGCCAAAACAGCAACGGTTGATCTGTCTCTCCAACGACACAAGGAATGGCATTGTGAATCTTCACACATCTCATCTCTATTTTATATTATGATGTCTCTCTTTTTATCTGTGTCTTATGTATGAAAGGATCTAGCTTAACCACCATGTCCAGGGCGTTATCCTTTAGCCTATTTTTGTTCTAAGAAGTGATTAGTTTGTTTTTATTATTGGAACTGGATTTCGGATATATATACTTTTGCCTTATGCTTGGTTTTTTTTCTTTCAGAAAATGTATCACAATTCCTATGTACCATCTAGAGTCCACGTGACTCTTTCTTGAGAATAACTAGGGAGCACATCAAGAACAAGTCTAATTAGCAAACACCAAACATAAAAGGAAAGGTGTTCTGGGCAAACTTCATTGGAAGGAAGCAAATTAACAATAAAACATTACTTTCTTAACATTGTCCTTCAAATCAGGAAGTGGCATAACCGATGCACTAGAACCCGGTGCTCTGGTATTTCTCCCGGCACCACCACCACGGCTAGCAACAACACCACTTGTCATAGACCCGCTATCAGATAGTGAACTCTCCATAAATGTAAGGAATGCATTAATTTTAGATTGGGGGTGACATTTTAACATCTAGATTTCAGTTACGAAATTATTTGAATTTTCTATTTCTAACGTTTTCTATAATTGCCTTATTGGGCCATTTGTTTTGCTTTATCATTTGTTATTTAATACGTGAAAGTGCTAATTGTATATATGCTCACTTTTACCGCACTTTTATGTAAATAAATTACCGAGCATTGCAAGTATATAGTAAGTATATATAACGCAGTTACTAACTAATACTTGTCTAACATTTATAAGATTCATTTTTAAATAAATAGTACATAAGTATATAGTAAATATATATAATGCAGTTACTAACTAATACTTGTCTAACATTTATAAGAATCATTTCTAAATAAATAGTGCGTGCAACAAGCGGTCGATTGTCGTGCTTAGAGTAGTACATACATGTCCCCAAAATCAATGATTGTAAAAATGAATTTTCTCAACTTTTATCCTATTCATAACCCTTTGTTTTGTAAAACAAATATGTTAACATATTTCAAAAAGGATTGTTTTCATCGCAAGTTCTAGTGTGTTAAGACATTACATTTATATGGAGATGTTCCGTGGAAACTATCAAACCTCAAAATCCGCATAATATTGCTCTTTCTTTGTATTATAAAAGTGTTTCTTTTCTAATGCACAAGATTGATTAATTTGTGTTTAATAAAACTGCATTTCGAAAATATATAATTTTGCCTTATGCATGTTTTTTCTCTTTCAGAAAAATGTATCACAATTCGTATGTACCATCTAGAGT